TCGCTGGTTACCCAGCTCACAGCTACGGCTCTCGAAAATCTTGTTGTTTATGTGGTTCAGGATTTAAAGCAGGTTGTTTATGATTCAGAAGGTCGGTGATTCGATCGCCACCTCCTTAGTTTGTTGCAGAGTCCTTGGGAAAGATGCTGGGGAGTTGCTCTAAAAAGCAGCTTTCTGCCAGTGCAGGAGATCTGACAGATATTCCAGGATGGCGAAATGATTTGTGGGTTTGTAGTGCTGAGCTCTTAAACTTAAGGCTAGGTTTGCGGCATAAGTTACCATGGAAATTTATCCCACTAACCACCTTCACAACCCTGAAAACCCAGTTAATCCTGAAGTTACCTTGCTAAGCACTTAATTCTCATTCATAGTACAGGCTTTAGGTGAAGGAGAAAGTGAAGGAGCAAATATTGTTAGTTTAGATTAAATCCACTGCAACATTATGCTATCCAATTTGTATCTGGATGTTTGTTTGCCTGTTTGTTTGTTGTTATTTTTTTTACACTTGGAGAACATCACATATGCAAACAAACATATTAGATTTTTAAAAAATTAAAAAGGGATGGGGGGTATGGTTCTTCTAGTGAATTTAAATAATTCACTTGGTAAATAATTCACTCATCGTTTAATTGCTTTGCTAAGAAATTTATTAGTGTTTTATAATACAGCAATTCCCATTCATACCTATAAATGTAAGTACAGTGGAACAGAGTGATAACTGTTTTCAAAGGAGAAATAAATGACAGTGTTTTTGCAAGAAATGGTTATCTACAGTGTATTTTAAAAGAATCGAGGCACAAATTATGCTATCAGAATACAAAGTAAATGTTGGTAAATTCGACCAAAACTTGGGGGCTATATTACTGCTCCACCACAACCCAAAGGTGCTCTACTGGATTGAGATCTGGTGACTTCATTGTCATGTTGAAGGAACTAGCTTGAGATGATCTGGCCTATCATCATGTTGGAAATGGCCATCCAAAGATGGCTATACTAACAGTGTCAGCAGCAACACTCAGGGAGACTCTAGAATCGAATAACTTTTCTTCTGTATTTTGATGCTCGGTATGAGCGACGGTAGGGCAACTTGACCGTGTCTACATGGTTAAACGCACTGAGTTGCTGCCATGTGATTGGCTGATTATAAATGTGCAGATCTGCGTTAATAAGCAGTTGAACAGGTGTACCTAACAAAGTGGCCAGTGACAGCTGCCAGACTACACTGGCTACATCTTACACAGTTAACTGTTTTTAGGCTTTTAGTGATTACGTGGGTTTGCTGTCATTCCCTTATTTTTATTATTCACAAATGTATTTGTATTGTATTCATGTATTCTGTTATTCACATCTTTTGTTTTAATCTTGTAGCTATGTTTTGAAAAGTACTGTACAAATAAAAGACTACTTTCACATAAAACTGTGGACGTTTTTATCCATTTTAAACTCAAATTAATTGTGAGCACAAAATGAATACTTTGCAGATGCTGTCATAATGCACTTGACACATTCTCAATCTTTTCCATGTCTTGTTAACCCAACACAAACACAAGGTGGTGCTGTTTCACTTGAAATGGTCCTTGATGAGACTGCAGGGTCACAATTCGGTTCTTTGGATTTAAGACATTTCAAATTAATCAAAGGGATCGATTTACTTTAAAAATGAATTTTATCACCATAAGAGTTTTAACTGAAGACTGTTAAATCCGATAACTGTGCAATTTTTACATCTGGAAACTTGTTACTCAACTGTAGTTTTTGTTCTTCTTTAAAGGCTCAGATACTCCAAGATTATATTTTCACAGCAGCACTGCTAGCACTACTACTTTAATATACTGTACTGTTCAAAAGTCTTGTGTCTCATTTCTTTATATTTAGCTTCCAAGAATCTTCTAGCTTGTTTGTTTGTTTTTTTAAGTGCTCTTGAACAATAGTTCAGGCTTTCTGAAGGTTTCAAAGTTTTTCTTTGAACATTGGTTGCGTTTTCGTCCATTTTTGATCCAATCTTTGTACTTGGTCATTTTCGAAGCAATGCTTTTGTTTGTTTGTTAAGTGACTTAACACTGACTATTGAGTCATTCAACCATAAATGGCATCTTAAGTCAAGAGAGGTCCCTGTTATAGTTGGCAAATTACCAATTTAAAATACTATTTTTAGGGACTTAAAGCATCTTTTTGTGCTGTTATCAGCAGCTTGCTGGAAAAACACATAATTTGTTACCATTATTTTTAGTCAGATCTACACAAAAAAAAAAGGACAAAGTTTGACAAACAAGAAATTGAATTTTTGCACTAACAAGGTGATTTCTTAGCCAGAGAGCTGTTAGCCAAAAACCTGGCATATCACAGCATGGTGTGCAGTGTGTCCTTCAAGGATTTGAGGAAGAACAGAAGAAGTGGCAGTGGTAAAAATACATACATACATACATACAGAAATAAATAAAAAACTAGAGCAGATGAACGTCTACTTCCTTAAGAAACAGTTACTGTTACTGTTCGCTGAACCCTCTTTAGAAATGGTCTCAGTGGAAGAGCAGCTATTAGGGGAAATGGGAATAAAAGGCTGAGGTGTGCCACATTATAAGGTCAGGAAAAAGGAACAGTTCAGCCAGTACTGAAGTATAAAGATGGCCATGCCACATATGGACTTTCAAGCTTGATAGAACTGTACAAACTCTGTTTAATTTATATACTACATTTCCATGTTTCTTTGCACAACTTTCAGTAAGTCTCTAGACCTCTTTCCCCATTTTCATATCACAATGCAAAGAAATTAAGGAGTTGTTCAAGACTTTTACACAGCACTGCAATTCTGCATAAATTTAGTCCCAATATTGTTGCCTGTCAGCTTCTTTAAGCCTTTTAATAAGTTTCCTCCAACGCAAAAGCAAAGCGATGTCATGTTTTATCCGTGTCACACCACCGAGTGTCACTGCTGCCTGCGAGTGCTAAAACTGCACGCTCCAATGACGACACACAGAATGTTACATCTGGCACATCTAGCTCTGGTCTTTCCACCACACAAGTGATCAAATGAGCCAATGGTGCCTTTTTATTGTTTTTCTTTAAAAAAACAAAACAAAAAAAAACAAAACATGTTGAAACGGTTCAAATATGACCACTTGGGAAGCAAAGAAAAAAAATGCTATACCAAGATGACAGTGACCTAAAACATGAGACTTTAGAAAAAAAAGGAATTAATCAAGTAATACTAAAAATAGAGCATTAAAATCAAGATGTTACAGAGATGTTTGCATGGAATAAACAACATGGCTAAAGACCACACTATTAGCTACCAGAGAGAAAAGACAAAAAGGTCCATTGCAATAAAAGACAGACTGTCAAGTGCTGGGGTAAATATATATTTCTGCTTCATATGTCATGTTTTAGAACAATAAAATATAGGCCTCTGAGCTGTCACTCTCGCCTTTGTCCTAATGTTGCCTGCAAAAATACCAAGAAAATTGACATAATCCTGACAGTTTAAAAAGTACACATACTGAGCATTATTTTACATCTGAGCAAGACTCGAGGTCACTATTTGTTACAAATAGTTATCAAAAGAAGCCTTAAGTTTCAATTTTCTGCAAGACGCTTCAACAAGAAAAATGGCTTTCCTGTGTCCAAAGCTTATTTTCATATATACCACTATATATATAAAAAAAACAAAACAAAAACCATATTAAACAAAGGGGAAAAATAATCACAGAAATATACACCAAGAAACTGAACAAGGGTTCAGGATACAAATAAAAGGCATTCAAAAATAATATTCAGTCTAAAATGAAAAGCAAATCCAAAATGTTGATCCTTTTTTTGAACCAACTGGTCGTCAGCAACGAACTAGAAATCTTGAGGGCGTTTCTTGGACAAGATGAGATCCCTCCATCTTCCTTAGTGCAGTCTAGAAAGAGGTGTTTGGTCAGTCAGGGATGGAGGGGTGGGGGGTGGTGGCAAACCCCCAAAATTGTCTCTCAAAAAAAACAAAAAAAAAAACAACAACAACAACAAAAAAAAACCCAGTGAGAGAAACACAAGGGGCGGGGAAGTAAATTACAGCCTAATGAACTACACAAAGGGGAAAAAGAGGTGGCAAAATAACTTAGAATAACTTAGTAGCAGGTGTTTTGACTGTTACGGGCAGTGTAGAGTGGGGGAGGGGGGCATTTGTGCACACATCACAATTGCTGCTATTTTTCAGTGCAGTGCCACAGATTTGCAGTAAAGCCAACATTGAAAAGGAAAACTGACGAAACAAAAATAAAAAATATACATATTAAAATGAAAATAACCACACAGATGTTAACTCGATGCTTTCAGAGTGAGACGGCACGGTTACGTGAGGGTGCTCCTACTATAATCATGATTGTCTCGGTCAGTTCGGTTCAGTGTCTCTACAGCAGGCGCCTTTAGGGAGGAAGTAGAGTCAAACAGTGATTCTGGTGACGGCGGTGGCATGTGATGGTGGCAAAGGAAAGCGGGTAGGGTTAGGCAGGGTATCGACGGGGGGGTTGTGGGGTGCTGTGGGGGTTTCTCTGAGAACTGGAGGCTTCGGTTTTGGAGATTTAAGGGTCTTCATGGGATCTAACAGGCCTCCATCTCTAGCAGAGGGCCTGAAGCTGCTGCCTTTGCTTTGCATGTGGAGAAACTGTTGCGTTTTCCTCCTAGAAGAAAAGGGAATAAAAGAAATGACTGCATCTGTACACGAAAAAAAAACCCCCAAAACTGCTGCATTGTGAACACCACATGCCAAAACATGAGTTATATTCACACTGTTCATCAAAAAGCAGACAAGACAAATCGAGATGACTCAGGGTGACTCCCATGTGTCTCACCATGCAAGCATGCTCCCCTTAGTTCAAGGGGGTGGGAACAAATTATCTGTCATCAGCATCTACATAATCAATCATTTGCTTTCAGTTCGTGGTGTCAAAGCTGGTTGAATGAAACTCTTTGCAGCAGTGTGGAGCCTCTGAGCTACAGAGGCCTTATAGGTCAGTGGCAGGATGTGGGCTGGTCTAGCTTTGATCTCATGTAACGTGGGGGTTGCCTTGACCCAGCTGGCAGTGCTGCGCTCTTCTTTGCTCATTCCTCCTCTCATGCTCACTCTCTTTCTCTCTCTCTCTCTCTCACGCTGGGGTTGAGCGCCCAATTGTGTTTCTTCTGGTTGACATTTATGCTGCCATTGCAGGTGGGCGACGGGAAAACAAGAAAAAGGAAATTCTGGGTCTGTCTGAACACCCACGCTTCTGGTCTTGGGACAACATAAGAGCGCATTCATGGTTCTATAGGTGGTAGACAAGCGTATCCCACATTAGAAAAATGCCAGCAGGTACTATTATTTGATCCCACGCTTGCAGCATATTTGTAATAGCTTCAAAGTGGCATTTATAAGCAAGTGTAGCCTATGACTGACCCCGGTCTACTGTGCCACATCAATCTGTTTTTGACAATAGGCGAGGAATCACAGGTTTATGCAGAATACAGTACTTAATACATTACTAGATATCTGTGACTGCAGAAGGATTAGTGTATTATATGGATCACTATTAACTTTTAATGTGTTGCTTCATCTAATTAGCTTCCACCACTACAAGTCCTTTTGCTACAGTGTGTTTCTTCTACTTTACAGACAGTTAACAGACTCAGAAAGTAGTACCTCCAGTCGCTCAGCTTAAAGAGTGTACTGTGAAGCAAGATTACCAAGTTAGCCAGATACACTGAGCCTAAAGACAGAAGCGGCTCTCTTTAAACCTGGATAAATCACCAAGCTAACTTATGCTAAACACATTACCTGGTCATGAGCAGATCTGAAAATCAGTTGCATCATGTTATTACTGGTTCTTTTATTAACAGCATGTTTTAAGAGTGATGTAGATTCTCTGCTGAGAGAATGTGTTTCATTGTGCGTGCAATTTGTTTAGCCATAACTCACGTAGAAAACACAAAATGATGTCCCAGCTGTAAAGTTACTGGAATTTGCCCGCATAAATGTTAGTTAGTTTCAGATTTGGTTTTTAATTTGGTGCCAGCGCATAAAGTTGCAGAGCTCCAAAAACAAACAGCTGTGATAAAATACATTAACTCGAGTAAATTTGGTTATTTTGGTTGCTCTGTGTGCTATCATCATAATCATCTGATAACATCTCCAATCTGAGTAGGGGACACTCATAGGGATCATTTTGTGGGGGGAAAAAAAAAGCATTGCATGGCATGTGGAACGCCCCCTTTTTTATGTGAGCGAGTATAGAGCCCGAAGCAAAGAACTGGGCTTAACAAAGAAAGCTGATAACCACTGCCCTAAAGCCCATCACCTCTTACTGTGGATTTAGGCTTTGTCAAGCCAGCTAATGCAAAGAAAGCCTGACTGTGTTGAATTTTCTTTCAGTATACCCCTCTGTTAGGACAACCTATTAAGAGCACTTGTGTACTTTTAAAGAATATACATATTTAGTGCCCGTGTATTGCTAAAGCTGATATTAATCGACCGACCAGATGACAGTGAAGCTGATGACAGCTTGAATATTTATATTTGTGTCCAATCAAAGTTATAGCAGAACTTTATCACATAATAACAGTAGTCTTTTCTTCTCAATGTGAATAATCTTGAACATGTGACTTTGGGGAAAATGTGTTCCATCTTTAACTGGAGTGTTAGAGAAAAAGCTTTGCCAAAACATAATATCCCCCTCACATCTCCAGTGTGGTGTGTTATTTACTAGTACTAGTAAAAACCAGTCATGTCCAATATTTATAATTTCAAAAGCGACAGGATGTACTTATCACCCCAGCTGTGTCCCTATGAGCTCGGGTAAACCTCCACAGGGTCTGCAGTCTTAAGAGGCACGTGAGAACTGTGTCTACCATGTAAACTATGTCGCACAACAGGCACCTGACTCACAGACGCACTATCCTGCACAGGAGACTGCCATAGTTCATGTAGCTATGTTGTTAATTACCCAAACCTGCGTGGTTCAGGCAGAGGTCGACACGAGGGTGTAAAAATGTTGCGCGACTCCACTTCACAAGACCTTCATGAAATCGGCCCCGGTTCCCTGACGAGGGAAAATTGTTTGTCAAGCTGCAAAAGTGTTCTTTTCCCCTCTCGTGATCCAAGCTTGGGCTAACATAACAAAGTTAGCTTCAGTTATTGACAAGCCAAGGAGAGTTATTTTAGACCCAAGCAGCATCAAATAGAATCAGTGATCAAAGTGGAGAGGCATAGACAGAGGTGGATGGATGTCTCCTGTGACTAAAAAGATGGATGTTTTGTGAAGACGGTAGAGAAACGAAAGAGAAACGGTATTAGTTTGCTTCTCCCTCGTGGCAAAGCCGAGAGTGAAGTCAGGCGAGTGCTACTGCTGTTCGCTACATCTTAACACTTAAAACTGTCTTAAGCACACACAAACACACAAACACGCGTCACCACGCTGACTGCTTCACCACATGTGGATAAAAGAGAACGGGACAGAGGCCACCTTTCCCAAAGAGAGCTGACCCGCGAGCGGCACAGGACAGAAACTGAAAGGAACACATGGCTCAGAGAAAAAGAGAGAGCTCCTGTTGCTTTTATTTACCTCCGCCGCCCTCCCTCTTTTCATCCTAGGATCTCAAAGCGGACCCGCACGCCCGGCCCTGCACCCAGTTTCCTGGGGAGCATTTTTCCTTCCCCCCACCGCAGACATGAAAAGCGCTGGCCTTCCTGCCTGGGGAAGAGTCCTGAGGGGTGGTGAGAAGTGTGTGTCTGCGTGTGTGTGAGTTTTTCAAAAAGAGCTGGTGCTAACAGCAGGGGTGTGTGCTTGCGTGGTGGTGGTTGGTTATAGGGGGCACCAGGCCAGTGTTTCACAAGGTCCAGCCGACACAAACACTTGGATTCAGGAGCAACTTGACCCCTCCTCTCTTCTCGCTTCCCTCCGTCTCCTCCTCCGCCTCCGTCCACATTAGTGCTCAGGAATGTTGGCCGGTCTTTTTTGCAGGAAATGAAACGCTCCTCTGTTCAGAGGGTGAGTGAAGGTTTAGTCTCCCCCCTTTCTCTCTCTCTCACTCTCCCCCAATTCCTTTGCCTCTATGTGAGGGAGGGAGGGAGGGAGGGAGGGAGGAAGGAGTGGGACGAGCCCTTGCCCGGCTTTTGAAGTGTGGGAGGTTAAGATAACTGGCACGGCCTCGCGCCTCAATCGCCGCTTTCACCTCTCAGGCCGAATCAAAGCACCCGCAGCTGGGACCCACACGCCTTATAGCCCCCTGACCTCCATCCCGTCACCCCACCCACCCCTATTCCCTTCAGCTCCCCTCAATCCCAGCACAAAAGCGCTGGGGTTTCTTTTCAGTACTATTAAGGAGGAAAACATTGCTGAATTGCTAAATTACTCTAAAAATAAGTCAAGTGGAGAGTGCAGACTCTACCATGAGAGGAAAGACCCTGTGGTTGGGAGATGTGTCCACTGATGCTACTGAGCAGGAATCACCTTTTTAGACTTTCCTTGTATTGCTCTCTGACAGGGCAAGAAACAAGTACAGTTGGATGATTTTAGGCTGTAAACAAGCCAGCAGTGCAGGCAGATTACCTAAGCTGCTTTGTTTCTCAGGCCCAGACTTGAGCCTGGTGTGCTGGAGTGTCTCGGCTATGACCTTGGCCTTGTATCGCACAACCAGCTTTGGTGGCAGCTTTTCAAAGAAGCCACAGCTCTATAAAAAGTGTTACAGTGATGCTCTTAACAGCAAAAAAAAATGTTGGAAGAAAGGGGAAAAACAGTAATAGACGGCCCATTAGAAGAAACACCTGGAAGAGATGGCAATGAAAGGAAATATTCATTTAAAAAAAAGGGGGGGGGGGTGAAAACATTGGTTTGTATTGGTTCCACAAGCATTATCAGAAACGAACAGTTTAAAAAGAAATATGAGAAGCGAAAAACGTGCCTGTATAAAATATTGGAGCGTGAGGAAGGGTGGGGTCTGGCTGTGGTCAAATGGGGGAATAGGAAGAGGGGGAGTCACCCAAAAGCCCAAACCTCAGGCATGTGTGGGTGAGACTAGGGGGGAGCACAGGAGGGTGTGGGGAGGAGGGGTGAGGTGTTGCCCACATCTGAGGAGGCATTGCTGGGGGTGAAGTCTGGCCGTGTGCCCCCGCACAGCTCAGTCTGAGCCACTGCAAACCGGGGGATGTCAGGGAGGAGGGTGGTGGTGCGGCACATTCAAAGGGCCTGCACAATGACTGTTCCCTCTGCTGTGGTCTCGCTTCAAAGGGCCTCCACCGCCACTTATATTCAGCATCAGGACAGAGGAGTGGAGCAGGAAGAGGTGGAGTAGGGCGAAACGAGGCAGCGAAAACGAGTGGAAGAAGAGCTGGGATAGTCGTTTAGCCTCCTTTAATAATAAACACGACTTCCTTTTGACGCTCCGTCCTTTGCCTGCCTGCGCCATGTTACCTGGGGCGCTTTCATTCTGATAACTCACAGATAAGCATCTCACAAGGGGAGGGTTTTATGGAGGTCACATATTTTTTGCCTCTTCCGAGAGGCTGCAATGCCTCCAGGAGCCCCCGGAGGGGGGATGATGGAGGGGGGTGGAGGAGAGGAAGAGAGGAAGTAGAGAAGTCATCCCAAAAAAGCCATGAGACTGGACCCTCATGCTGTTACCGCAGCTGGCCAAACCACGACACAATAGGCCCATGACTCAATCAAAACAAATTCCAGGCCCCAGTCTAAACAACAGGAGAACTACAGCTTCATTTATTCCCATGTGGAGCCTTCTACTCCATCCCCTATCCCACCCCACCCGACCCCCCCAAGAGAAAAGAAAAAGGTGTGAAATACGGCTGCCAAGCCAGGATAAGACAACTATGTCAGTGTGAAAGATTTTTTACTTCTGAGCGAAAACCACACACTCAACTGAGGCTTCACATGCTAAGTGCTGAGAGAGTAGTTTTACTTCACAGTGTATGCTTTGTGGAGGGGGGGGGGGACATTTCCGATTCCATTTCCTACCTAAAGTAACATTAGCTGGGGCGTCACTCTGATTTAAAATCTCTCCTCCACCTCCTACCCATAACTATCCCCCCACCATTTTTTTTTTTTGGTACAGTTTTAAAAACATCCTCTGATCTCCCGCGTGCTGCTCAGAGCGAGACCCACAGTCAGTTTCGCAATCCGGATTCCTTCCCCAATTATCCCAGGTCACTAATAAGGCTGGGTGTGGAGGCACTGGGCTGTGCCGCAGTAGCCTAGAGGCTCGCTGCCAAATTGAAATGACTCTGGAAATGGAGGCAGACGCTGAATCTTGCCTAATTGCAGCCTGAGTGTGTGGCTGGCTGCTCAGATTTTGTGCAATGTGTTGAGAGTGATGAGGGTCTGAGAGAGGGAGAAGATGAGAGGCAACAAATAAAGACAGAGGGGAGGGGGGGCAGAAAATGAGGAACGGAGACTGAAGGATGAGTGGCGGTTGACTGAGATTGGGTAAACTCCGAACTCTGGAGAACGGGGTCTGCTGGGGGATTTTCTTCTGGGCCTTTTCTAGCCCTCGCTCTCCCCTAACGCGCTCGCTCCCTCCTCGCTCATCAAAGTCTTTTGACAGCTGACTTCTGGCTGCAGACATCAGAGGGAGCAGAGCTGGGGCACGACCGAGACAGACAAGAGGAGATGAGCGAGAGTGGCCACCAAAGCTTCTGCTTGAACAACACTTTCTTTTATGCTTCTGGAGCAGGGCGTGTGGTTCCAAATGACCTTTGATACACTCTGCAGATGTTCATAATGCATATCCAGGACCACCTGATTTACAAAATAAAAATATACCACCTCGTGCCTAGTTTGTGGCAACTCCCAAACAAACAAAAACTGTGAACTTATATGCAGCTTCACGGCAACTCTGGGGGCCCTTGTTAGCCAGATTAAAAAGCCACCTTTGTTAGGAGTGTCTCCCCCATGTGAAAAAAATGTGCAGTGGCTGAAACGGGAGAAAGCCTTGGGGGCATGTAGGGGTCTCAGCCAGATAACTATCTCAAAGGCTGTGAATCAGAGGGCTTAGTCAGACAAAAGGCTAACAGCACGAGAGGAAGCAAGATGGACAGAACCAAAATAAAGAGGTGCAGAAACAGCGAAAGGGAGTTTAAAAAAAGTGCAAAAAGAGTCATTTCCACTTAGTGTAAAGAAAGGGGTGTGAGGGAAGGAGCGGCGAGAGAGACAGGCAGAAACTCTAATTTCACAATGTCAGACTAATGACTTCTCTAAGAGCTGCTGTACTGTGGTGAGAGCCAGCTGTGTGGTGGACCCACTGTTTGACATGCTAAAGATAACAAAGGGAACCGACATCACGCCATAAAATGCTGCTCTGAGGCTCAACTCCTGGCTTGCCAGGCCTTTAAAAAAGGCCATTTAATATGAAAATGCACAAAGTCAGTGCAGCACGTCACCAGAACATTCTTCATCACAACCGTCCAAATGTTGAACCTCCGTACAATAGAGGTGTTCACAACAGAGTCCCCAAAATTAACTCGTTAACAGATTTCTTTGCAGATTCTGCATAACGGGGGAGAGACAGATGGGTTAGAGGCGCGGACAGATGAAAAGGAATAGACAAACGAGTTCATTTAAAGATGCTTTTTGGCGTCTACAGCAAGCTAACCTCAATCCAGCTCTTTGGGATCTGCATAAATTGAGGGCTTGGGGAGTTGTGGCAGTATCCTTGGTATTATGCATATTAGTTTAAGGCTGTCACTGAGAATCAGCAAGGGTGTCCATCCCGCTGCGGCTAGGCACTGCTAATTATTGGATCAGAGATAAAGTGCTTTTTAGCGCTTGCGCTCTCTGTTCCTTGAAAACTGGCTGTGGTCACCAAAAAAGGAAAGAGACAGAGAAAGAAAAGAAAAGCCCAATTTTGGGTTCGCAGAGCCACTGGGTCAGGAATCGATCAAGTGGAAAACCTTTGTGTGGTTAGGGGTGATTTTGACATAAGACCAGATTTGTCACATCTGCCCGGCTTTTTCTGCTGCCAAAAGGAAGCGGAATAACAGGATGCTACCAGACTCTCAGGGAGGGAGAGAAGCGACTCAAGGAGAGTCAGGAAGATCGAGAGGGGGGAATAGAGTTGCCTTTACCACATACTGGGACTAGTAATCCTCCTCTTAAGAAAAAGAAAAAAAGAAGAAAAAAGGACAGGTGACAATTCAGTGAGGCCTTTCTTGACATTTGTTGTGGATCGATATCTCTCTACGTATTGATAACGTGTTGAAAAAGCAAGGGAGCGAGAGACTACATTGTGCCTTTGTTATGAGAGCATTATAGACACCCTGAAAGCCCAGATACCATGAAATCTTATTAAAGGTATAGCATCTCATTAAGTTCCTGCCAGACAAGCTGCTGGATCCTGCCCTGCTTCACAAAGACGCAGAGAAAGACAACACATGTAGCCCATATGGGGCTGAGCTGATATCCTAGCCTCCACCAGAGCAAAAAAAAGAAAGTTTCAGATGTATTATTTATGCCATGTTTAGAAAACACTGAGTTCATGAGCTGCATGATTTATTAAGCAATATTTTTAGTTTATTTGGACACTTTTACCCCCGAATAGCATACGAGTTCTCATCCAACCAGCTCACAAAGACACTGAACTGACCAGTACATGCATACGCTTGCATGCAGAAAATTTAATGTATATTGTGTTGAGGCCATTGAGCAAACCACACACACGCACACACAAACCACAATCCCTCTTCAGGCCTTAACACAGCTGACACAATGACTATGGCAAGGTTAGGGTGGACCTTTTTAGGATTAGTCTGTGAGCACATACTCTCTCAAAGTCAGTGTTTAGCAGTTTTTTTTAAAGAACAAAATGAAGGATAAAGAAAAAGCTTGACATATATCAAACTGGACCAGACAGGGAGGGCATAGAGGTGGGGGGGTTGTCTTACCATATTCTCAGATGTACGCCGTTTTCATTCTCTGGCCTGTACCTGCAGAAAATTGCATCTTTTTAAAAAAAAAAAAAAAGGGTATCCGGACGGCAAAAGATCATAACCGTCCATCTGGCCTATACAGTTGTACAGACCAAAAGGAAGTACTGACATTTTACTTAAGAAGTAATTCTCAGTGGATTACAGTTGCAGTGCTAAGGAAGAGGCTCAGAAGCGCAGCTAAACAAGGTCAGCAGAAAGACACACTGTAGAGCAGCAGGCAAACAAATAATGCAAAGCCCAGAAATCCGTAAGCAGTCGTATAGAATGGACAGACTAATCCCAAAGTAGGTGTAATATGAGAAGACAGGGATAGAGACATATAAATGAAGGGGTGTACACAAGTCAAGTTTGAGGCTAGACTGAGCATAGTGAGTGGGTTAGTTTGGTTAGTCTGATTCTACTAGCTGTCAGTCAATGAGAGGTTAGTGGTTTGTTTCACAGGGCGAACATTACTGCAAATGCGGCAATTTGCTGTAAAACACGACCCCACAGAAAGATGGTGGAAGTGATTCCCAACTGCACAATGAAACCAACAAACAACGGCGTTTCCCAAATGAGCGAGGAGGCAGGAGTTGGAAGCGTCTCTTACCTGTGGCCGATTCCTGCATCTTTTCCCTCTTCCGCTTCTTCTTCTTTCCCTAAAAAATATACAGAGGAACGCATAAAGTGTGGCTCCAGCACTCACGCTCACTAGACCACTCTTGATATCCTGCTGCTGACTGCCATGTTCACTCATCCCCTGCTGGGCATCCAACCAGCATCAACCCAGACTCTGGACTCCACCACAAACTGCGACACTGAGGGACGGGCCGATGGAGAGCCGGATCTCGTATCAAGTGTGCTCTACCTCCTCTCGACCGCTTTTCCATAGTCTTCAGGCCTGTTGAAGTGTGGCCATTCCCGGCCGAGTGAAAGTTCTGCTGTTTTGACAGCTCTGTGTCTAGCTTTGAAGTCCCCCCCCCCTTGTATTTTTTAAATGACAAACATTAACATGAAGTGCAATTAAAAACGCTCACTGCAATTAGGCTGTGAAGAGTAGCACTCGTTTTTCCAGTGAGGTGGTGGGAGTGCGTAAGGATTTTTTAGCTTATGCTAAATCCCCAGGGGGGAGACTATAGGTATAGATAGCAGTGTAGAGTCGTTTTAGTCAAATATGAGCAGCACTTTGGTTTCCTGCTGCAAAGTCTGCTAATCCACTTATTCATGAGCTAATCTGCCTTCTACTGCCGCGGCAGACAGGGAAGAAGAGAAGCTGAGTGAGTGTGGGTGAGAGAAAGGGTGGGGAGAGATAGGAGGGGGTGCACGGCAAAACTATGAATGATACGCGATTTTTCCACGCCAGTGTGTTGCCTATTTTGGGTGTTTCCAGGCACGATGCTCTGTCTGTAATACTGTGATTGTGGGAGCGGTCACAGAATAACTAATTCCAGAAGGATACACCATCTACTTTGCACTACCCATTATCGTTACCTTCGTCGTGTGCCACATAGAAAGCCATTCCTCTAACCCCCTTCTAAACATCGAAACTACTGAGAAAACAGGAAATTCAACAGGATCCGGCCCAAATGTCACCAATGCAGTGATGATGCGCATCTTTAACTCTGCTGTGCTTCACTGGGAGCAGAGCTATGAACAATCCCCCGCCCCACACACACACACCCCACCTCAGCGAGGCATTTTGGCAGTGGAGCCGTGGAGGCAGAAGGAGGAGGGATGCTGTCGGTGTCCGAGGGGAGGCAGATAAACACCACAAAGCACTTTGGTGGTGGAGTGAATGTGAGTGCTGGAGCCACACTTTTAAATAAAGGCTGGTGCTCTCTCTCTCTCCCAAACACACACACTCACAAAGATTCATACACGTCACACGTCACTCAATAACACATTTAGACTCTCATCCAGCAGCACGTAAGTACACATAAATGCTGTAACAATAAACACAGGCTTCATCCTAAAAATCCAGCTGAACCGCCCAGATTCACAAACAAAAAAACAAAACAAACAAAAAAACGGGCAGCTGGGGGAGCAGAGGTTGCTACTGCTGAACGCCGCATGTATAATCCAGCCTCCTCGACTCAGTCTAACAGTTGCTTTCTACATCCGAAGCCGATATGGAACATCAAAGAGCGCCGTAACCATTACCAGGCAATTTTCACTCACAATGGCAATAATAGTGTCCGTGGTACTGCAATCCATTTTAGTGTGGATGGCACTATAACAGTGAATCACAGTGTTATGAATTACACATTAGGCTGAAACAAAGGGTCTACAAATGGACCCCATTAGCATGGAGGAGGACTGGTGCAAATTAGTGTGTTGGTGTGTGTGTGTGTCATTCCTGTGTGGCATTTTAAGAGCAAGTCATGCAACGCTGACATAAAGAAACATGAATCAACACAAACACATTCGCACACGCACGCACACGCACCTCTGTCAGTCTGTTCTGTTGATACTCACATAGTTGTCTCGAGCGGACCAGCCTGGGTAGAGCTGCATGTGGAGCTGCCGTTCCTTGCGGGCTAACTCGTAATACTTAGCTTGCTCTTCTCGAGATAAAGCATGCCACTGTTTCAGTACAAAGGAGATTAAGGGGGAGGAAAAAAAATAGCATACAGTCAATTACTGGCATGCACTTGCATGTTCTCTGCGTAGAGGCGTGCGCTGGTGTTTTGGTATAGAAGGGGGAAAAAACTTTTCAACTTCCACATGTGTATAAAAGGAAAAAAAAGCGGGGGGGATGAAAGACACAAAGAAGAAGAGGGGGGGGGACATGATGAAGAGATTAACATGCGCAAGAGTGAGAGAAAGAGAGAAAAAAGTAGGGGAGAGGGGGGTGGAGACAAGAAGGGGGGGGGCGACTTTGATTTCTTATGAAAACACTGCTTCCAATTTAGCAGTGCTTTTTATTCAAACTATGTCAGCAAGCAATTACCCTACGCAGGCCACAAACTAGGCTTTGCTGTGGCTGGCTGCCTCAACCGCCAGGCCTATTCGTTAAGGCTTTTAACATGGCTCTGTGGTCCCATTCTTTTCCCAATCCTCAAAAGGAACAAATTTTGTCATTTCCAACCGTGCCATTATACAGGCATATTTTATTAAAGCCAATCTGATTAAATGTCAGTTAGACAGGCAGCCCATGTCTGTGCTGTTGAAAGACAGAGAGAGCTGGGTGTGGGGCTTTAGGGGGAAAGTGGAAATAATTGGCTTGAGTATCATCAGGGCAATAATCACAACCAGTTTATAAAGACTGCTAATAAAGGGGAGAAATCATTGCACTTTTTCAGCTAATCGAGCAGCCTCCTCAGAGAACATGACATAAACTATGATCTCACCGCGATTCAGCAAAGATAAACTCGGGGGGAAAAAAGAAAGAAAGCTAGAGATCGGCGTATAGGTATACTGCGCGACCCACCCTTCGTCCCAGGATCTGATTGATGGCGGCGCTCTCCTTCAGCGTGCACTCGGCAACCACGTTCGCACGCATCTCTTTCATGTAGAGCATGAAGGCGTTTAGCGGCTTTTTGATGTGCGGTCTTTTGGGCTCCTGCTCCTTTCTCTGTTCGTGCTGCGGCTTCCTGTAGAGAAACGGAATACGACAACAAAGTGGAGGAGGTGAGAAAGAGAAAACACTAAAAAAGTTAGAAAATAAGCAAAATAAATTCAAGTCCAAAGCAACGGGAGAAGGAAATTATGGTGCCGCCGTGGCGACAAAAGCAGCCAGGGTCTGGCTGCACTCAACCAATGGCGAGGCAGCGTGAGAGGGGCTGCCACGCCATGGGCCCCGGCCTCTTTAATCATGTGCAGTTGTATAGTTGCAGCCCTTCATGCAGAGAGATTACTTCACCAGTAATGGCAACCAAACTTTCTTGTCCGCAGCACACTGGTGAATACTTAAAACCAAATGCTCCCGCGCTAAAAGAAAACACTGCTCGACTTACTTTCTAACAACCTTTTTGATACCAGTACAATCTTGGTAGGAGGATGTCCATGAATAATGGAAATATCAGTGATAACCACTTCAGGGCTCTCACAGCACTTCCCACTGCACACGCTGGGGATGTGAATTCTTAGCACTAATCTAGGACCTGTATCTGTTGTCAGCTAAGAGTGTTGTGATCCCAGAGGCCAAATGAAGCATAGGCCTGTTATCAGCAGAGCGTGGGCCCTCGCCATTTATCTGCTCACATCAAGAGAAAGAGAACAAGGCGTTGGGAGAGGGTTTGCTGAGCATCGCCCTCCTGTAGCGAGTGGAGGAGAACACAAATACCTGGAAGTTTGTTGTGTCAAAAAATGCTGATAGAGGAGTGACAGCACAAGCTTTAAGGTAATATTTTTTGTGTTTGCAGGACTCACATGTGCATGATGTCACCGTCATGAGGTGGCTCCTGTTTGACCTGTGGGTTGACAATGGCCGGGTGAGGGATTCCTGTGGCGTGAGGACCTGGGGGACCTGGCACCATGTGGTGCGGGAACCTGCAATAACAGGACATTTTGATTATTAAAGACTAAGAAGAGGATCAGAGGAGTGGAAAATATCTTCCAAATGGCATTAAAGTGAGAAAAAAAAGACTGGGAACTGTTTTATATGACTTTAGAAATTGTCACACACGGCATACGCATGACTGAATATGGCGTGTGTGACAATTGCATGACTATAGCCAATGATTGGTTGCGCCTCAAGAACAAGCAGTCGGAGTCTCTTTCACCGTGTTTTTACGCTTGTCACATTTCAGAATTTGTGATTAGATCTCACTTTTTAACTTTTCTATCAATAGTTTATAATATTGTTAGATTTTAACAACATGGTTATAGCTTCTCTTTAATGAATGAATAAAAAAATTAAAGTGAAGTGTCAAACAACATGGTTCTAAAGTGCAAATGCACCACTCCCTCAGTCTAACAGACTTGTTGCTAGGTATAGACTCTGCCTAGGAAACCAAAAATCAGTGGGTGTAGAAAAACAGGGATTTGTTTTTAAATAAAACAGCCGCCTGTCCTTAGCCTAACTCCTTAAATCAAAAGTGGGTTAGTCAGATTTACAAGGGCATGAGGAGGAAAGGTGGTGGAGACTTCTGGTCATGTGTGATCAAGTGTCCTGCTCGTGGACGTTACATCTGTCTTCACTCAGTGTTTGCCCTAAAGCCAGCAGAGTAAGAGATACTGAGGAAAGTGAGAGAGATATGTTTGGGGGATAGGGAAAAAAAGCACAGGAAGTAACAAGGATGCAGTGGAACAGGACTAAAGAAAAGCACTTGAAGTAAGTCTCAGAAAGAAAGAAAGAGAGAGAAGCGCTTCCAGAAAGCTTTGATAATGGTTAAGCAGCCATATGGCTATGCAGGGGCACGAATGCGGTGATGTGTTTGACATGTGCTGGGCACACAGTCGAGTGGTGTGGCTGTGGCCACAGCAGCGCAGCACAAACCACCGGAGGCGGACCTCCCAGAGGAAGCTGCTGTTCCAGGCCAGTACTTCTCTATTCAGTACACAAAGCCGGTACAGTGTCACTGTCCATAAGATGTAAAAACGCTGCATAGTTTCTGGTCCCTTTTTGCATGAATCAGTCGTGCAGGCTTTTGCTTTAATCTGCCTGTGACTCACCATCCCAGCTGTGATGTGAGCTGCCCCACTCCTCCAGGAGACAAGGAGTAGAAGTTGGGCATGTCTGGTCCGGGGTGATGCCTGGGCATTCCTGGTCAAAGAAAAGAAGAAAAAAAAAGCAACACACAACTATTAGATAGGCAGAATGCAGATAAGGAGGAAACAGCGCAAGCAGCAGGTTAGCAAAAATAAAATAAAATAAAAAATATCCCTTACAGACATATTTTAGC